GTCTTAGTGCAGTGCTTTAACCTGCTACGCCACCAGGGAGGGCCCTAAATTATTTTTATTTTATCCAATATCAGGTTTGTTTACTTTAATATTCTTCTTACATACCTGATATTTCATGATTATCCATTTTAACTGAAGAAGGAAGAATCAGACCACATGTGTAAGTGTGCTCTGCTGCTAGTGACACAGTGTAATAGGTTGGTTTTCTAGGAAGATCTTTGCTCTGTATGGGGTGATGGACTGTGTTGGTTGAAAGACCACACTACAGAAGCATGAACTGTTGGCAAACTATCACACACATTCACATTAAACATTCGAGAATATGAATGGACATTAACTATGGAGCCAAGTCCTGCAAAAGCCAATGCAGTTTTCAGTTCACACAACAGAATAGGCCTGCTCAGTTTTTGCCTGAATGCTAGGATTCTTTTTTTTTTTTTTTTAAGATTTATTTATTTATGCATAAAGAACTGGGGTATAGGCCAGAGGTGCACGAGCAATGAGAGAATTCATAAGAGACAAAGTGGGGGTGCAGAATGCAGATCATTGAAGTACACTGCTGAGGGAAGCAGCAGGCGGGTCAGGAGAGGTCTGCTGAGCCATGTGGATCACCTCGCTAGCTTTCAGTGCTGTGCCCTAACCTGTTGTGCCACCAGGGAGGACCTGAATGCTTGGAATCTAAGTGTAAGGATTCGGTGTATTTCAGAGGTGCTGAATTTCTCTGTAGTTTATACATAAACCTTCAATTCATCTTGTTTTGACCCATGCTTCCTACTGTCAACTCTTGAGTACAAGATGTCACATGACTTCTAAAAAACAAACTTTGTCCCATCCTCTATGGTGCATTTGTCCCTCAACACACTCTTGTCTGCTCTCCATCTTCCAGAAATTGTTAAACTCTCCTATACAAGCTTTCCATCCTTCAAATGGTTAACTGGTGTGGTGAGGCTTGTTCCTGTTTGATTTTCATCTTTTCTTTCAAACAGTATAAGGGAAGAAGAGATTGGCTTAAAGTGCACATTGTGTCATCTTGTAGTTTGCAGTTGTGTATTTTATTATTTTTTGATGGAAATACAATTCGAGTTAAATAATGAATTTCTCAGTCACTCTCAGAATTGTTGCAACTATAACTGCTTACTTTGTAGCTATGGAATCAGAGGTCCAATAAAATGTAAGGATATCTGATAGACTCTTACACAATCAGTATAGATTTGTGATGAAAAAGTAGGGTGGATTCTATGACTTTGAAAAAGTATACTCTGGAATTGATCTCATTCATTATGAAACATTTGAGAAGTACCTGGAATGGGCCAAGTTTGGCTAAGTTTTGGCAAGGTGAGAATGAGTATAAAGATAAGTAAGGTATAATCCTTACTGATGAGGATAACATAATCTGGTGAATAACTTGAGTATATGTAACATTTTGCAATTCATAAATCAGTTTTTACTCTTGAACTTAATAGATTTACCAGTCACAGTTTTAACTACTCCTAAGGGATGCCAATGATACATGACATAAAAAAATGTATTAATTTATTTAGGTTCAAATTTGAATCACATGTATTATAAGACTATGTGAGTGATATATTATAGTTGCTTGGGTGGTGAAAAGTCAAGCTGACTCATATGCAACAATGAAGTATCATTGTGCATCTAGTGTATGAGTTTATGAGCAGATTTTTCTTTTTCTATTGTCTAGCACAGCAGTTTTATTCGTGTATTAAATGTAGGTTTTATTTAGCACTATTTTCTTATTTGGTCTTTAATTTTTTATTGAGATAGCATTTGTTTGTAACAACGTATATATTTTAGAGGTATAGGTTCCCATCTCTTCACCTGTATATTGCCACACCAACTGTATATTTTGCACCACCAAGGCATCAGTAACTCTCCACCATAGTCCAATGAGCCCCTCCCAGCTGTACTTTCCACTTTTACTCTCCCCTTCTGGTAGCATCAATTCTGCTGTTGGATTTCTATTGTTTGTTTGTTCTGCTTCTTTGTTTTATTTATGTTTCAAATCTGATTGGAATCATTCTGTTTACCATTCTCATTTTGTCTTATATTGCTCAGCACAATCCCCTCCAATTTCATCTCCATATGGATGTTTAAAAAAAAAAAAAAAACCTTTTTAATAGCTGAGTAGTATTCCCTTGTGTGTATATGCCATATTTTCTCTATCAATTCAGCTGTTGTTGGGCACTTAGGTGGTTTTCATAGCATGGCTATTATAAATAGTGTTGTAGTTAGCATAGAAGTGCATATATCCCTTTGAATTGGTGGTTTATTAGTATTCTTTTGTTGTTGTTCTTCAGATAGATATGGAGGATTGGAATTTATAACAGATAAATTCTTGAGCTATTTGGACTTGTTAGGGTTATAAACATGACATGAGATTATTTTCCCATTATTTTTGCTTTTAACAGTGCTATTTCAACAACCCTCCTCACTTTTACATGGGCAGATCCCCTAGATTTCATATACTTTTTGTGGTGATGAATTTTAGTATATTACAATTCAAAATCTTATCTCATGTCTCTAATTGCTTGGCTTAGGCCTGAAAAGGAACTTACATTGGGAGAAACAGCCTGGTTTGCTATTTCCTTTCTATTCCCTCTTCTGATTCTGAGTGGTGGAAGAAGAGTATCTTACTTTCTTGGCCATAATCCTAGTCCCTACTTATAGTTCTGCAGTGAAGTTGTAAATGACTATTTATTTGGTTGCTTTGGGGTAAGCATCCAAAGGCTGGCTATTTCCCAGGGCAGAAGTATAAATCTCTAACAATATCCTCACTGAAAAGATCCATGACTTGAGAGATTGTCTTTGGCTTGCCCCCCCAAATTCCTCAATGATATCACTCATGGTTCACCTGTAGCCCCTGATTGTCAGAAGTACCCCTAGAAGGCATAGTACCACTTAACTTAACTTGACTTCACATCCTTCCACGACAGGCTGATACCCTCTTTCTGCTTCAGTGATTTTTAAAAGGCTCTTCTAATCTTTTTGGGTCTCATTTCCCCCTGCTAAAATGGAAACCAAGGGTTGACAAGCAGAGGCAACACAAAAGAGGTTTCTACTTGGAAAAGGAGGTTTTAGCCTACCTTTCTTACAGGTATCCTCTATCTCTATTAAGAAGCTCTCTCAGATACTCTGTAATTTGGAACTGGAATGAGATAACCCACACTCTCAATGAGGAAGGGCTAGAAAATTCTTTTAACTGTGGTCATGGTAGCTTGTCAACTCTATTACTTCCAACCCAACTGCCCCTGCTAGCGTTTCACTTATGTGGACAGAGGCACGAAGGGGCTAGAAATGATGTAATGATATAACCCACTTATTTTTGTGAAGGGTTTACTCTATCTTCAGACTTGTATCCTATTTCATGATTCTGATTCAGTATTACTGAGCAGCTTATTTCATACATTGGATGCTAATTTAGTCATGATTAATTGAGACTTGAAACAGTGCTGGGAAATTCTTCTTGAATGTGTAGGGCTGTGTTCAATCAACAGGAGAGAATTGAAGATATGAGCGGTCAACGGTTGAAAATGAGCCAAGAATCAGGATTTTCAACTGACATACAAATTTTACTTATACATAATAAGTTGAACAAAACTTGTCTTGAGTCCAATGTACATTATTTTATGTCCTCCAAACACCACAATGAAGTAGGTATGGTTGATATTATCCCCATTTAACTGATGATGAAATTGAGATTCAAAATGAAGCCTTGACTTGCCAAACTGCAAACTAATACTCTACTTGGTGCTTCTGATAGTGAACATTGACCTGTCCTGTTACTGTAACATAGGTCATAATTTTGAACCAAAGAGAATCTTTCTTAATTTTTTGATTTTTGTACAAGTGTCAAAGTAATACATGTTTTTTCAGTGAATCTACGAACATTAAGCAAAAATAATCATATACAGTTATTTTTCTGCACATGTTACAATATTTTGCAAACTTTAAATCAAATTATATTTTAATGCTCTTTAGTGACCCATTTCCAAAAATTAATATATTGTGACTTTCACTATCCATTAAATATTTTCTTCAAAAATAGTTTCAATGGCAGTATAATCTTCTACTTTATGAAGTGAAAATTCTTTTATTTAACTCATTCCCTGTTGGACAGTTTTCAACTTTTTCCTATTACAAAAAGGTGCTTTAAATGTCTGGCAACTTAATGGGGAGTCAGGGAAAGTAAATACAATTTCTAAAGATCATACTATGAGAAATAATCAGGATCTCAAATTATTTGGAACAATTTCAGTCACTAAAACAAGATTATATTATGTTGTTTTCTTAACAGAAACAAGACCATTTTGTTTTACTATAACCTGCTCAGCTGTACTAGTCCCTCTGTGATGGTAAACCTACAGTGCCCCACCACACAGGTAAGGAAAGTATGATTCCCTGACGGTATTAGCAATTTCAGTCATTCTTGGATAAAAGAATTTAGAAGCTCCACTTGGGTTCTGTGTGCATGTAGTTAATGATGAATTTATGGAAGGTGGGGTGACATAAGTATGAGCTCATGGGGTGACATAAGTATGAGCTCATGTTTGTTCATATGCAATCAAAAAACTAATCAAGGATTAATGATTTTAGAATAGTGGTAAGGAATCTTGATGTATCTTGTCCAACCACCTGTTTTTATAAACGAACTGTAGTCCAAATAAGTGGAGACGTTTTTCTCAAAATTAGTATTGTTTTAGAAAGAATAAAACTAGCAGTTATAATGAATAAACCACAGTTTTCCAGCAATTTAACAAAGGTTTATTTCTGATTATATAATAGTATAAGGTGAGCATTTATGGACAGTGGGTGACTCCCCACCAGTTTCTCTATTCTGCTGGCTCTTCCATTTATAAGGTCCTGTCATCTTCATCCTGCTGCCAGCAAGAAACAGAGAGGATAAGTAAATAAAGCACCTGCTTGGGAGAAAGTGTTGAATAAAAAGTATCATATGTTGCATGTTTATTTACATGCCATAGACATATTTGTTTTGTATTTTCACACCTAAATAAAAAGAGGAAAGAATCAAGCAATGTATTAAGTAATTTTGGGCTAAGCAACCCCTCCTGTTCCATAAAACAAATGGAGGGAGAGGAACAAATGTCAATGCACTGTTAGTTACTCCCTCACCCAGAACACCCTTCTTCCAAAGATAGACAACCTCTAGTAACATGTACTACTGTCTTTAACCCAAAGCCCAGGATCAATGAGTGATGCAGTCTTTCCATCTGGGAGATCTGGAAATCTGGAAGTCTTTCTATCCATTTCCACAATGGGAAATGGTGCTAGAAAAATCAGAAAGCAAAATCCCACCATATAGAAGCAAGGAGTATATTCAGTAGGTTCTGGTGCCTGACATCGGAAAATAATCAATCTGGGTTATTTCCTCTAAGAGGAATTCCCTTATTCATTGCATTCTGCAGTCCTCTACCTGACCACTGGGCAGTTTCCTGTCTATTGGCCTCCAGGATACACCATGACTGAACTCTGGAAACCTACCCATTTGGATATCATTAGATCTTATCTTTTCTCACATACTCAAGCACATTATTCCAGACATTTTTTTTCTATTACTACTGTTTTCCCCTCTCTATTAAATTAGCTGTCAATATAAAAACATACTGTTGTATTTTCCATCTAAAAAGTTCTCTCCTTGAGAACTTTCCCCATTGCTGCTTTCTCTGCTCAAAAAGAATAATCTGTATTCAATGTGTATATATCCTCTCTTTTGCTTTTCATTGAAGCTTTTATTCCTACTACAATTTCCTCCAAATGATACCTCTGACCTCCACACTATTACACCAATTCTCAATCCACATTTACCTGATTTAACACCACCTTTTAATTAACCCCATCTCATTAAAATGCTTTCTTTATTTGGCTTCCAACATTCTTCACAAACAACTTTCTCTGTTTTCTCCCAACTCTCTAGCTATTCCATATCAGCTTACTTTGATGGATCCCTTCATTTTCCAAAATATTCTAAAAATTGGAACTTCTTCCTTCACTGTAATTAGTTCTTTTTGAAATCTACATTTACTCCTTTGGTGATGTCACCTAGTCTTGTAGTTTTAATGCCATCTATATGTTCCCTACCTGATTTACATCTCTGGATAAGTCTGCTTGCTGAACTCTAGAATTTAATATGCAAGCACTTATATCTATGCAGTGTCTCTATGTGGATATTTAGTTGTATCTCAGATTTTATTTGACCAAAACTCAACTCCTAACCTCTCATTTTATTCCTGAAATTATTCCCCACCACCATAATTCATCCCTATTCCAATGAATGTGAACTCCAAATACCACTCGAGGTTGTCTATTTTTGGAAGAAATTTTTTAAACAGAAGATATAACAGCATGTTTGTATATTGACAGGACTAATTCAGTAGAGAGGGGAACACAGTAGTAAAAGAAAAAAAACAAGAATTCCTCTTCTACTCATACTCACACAAGAACCAATTTATCTGGTTTCCATCCAAAATATACTCTTTACTACCAAACTGCTTGTCACCATTCTCTTCCTATTTTCCAGGGACCTCATCTCTTTACTACAATAAATTAGTCAATGACCTTCTGACTGGTCTCTTTGTCTCCATCTCGTCTACCCGCCACCACATTTTATAGTCTCTACCAGTAGCCCATGTGATTTGTTAAATATAAGTCACATGATATCTATCACTCATTTGTTCAAAGTAAAAAACACTCTTTTATTCCCCAAAGTACTCAGACTAAAGTCCAAGTCTTAACAATGGTCTACACGATTCTCCACTGTGTGTCCAACTCTCCAAGTGCATATCCTATGATACTCCCTATACTCACTATATTGGGTAGTCTTCAAAGGATCTAGGAAATATCCTGCTTCAGCATCTTAGACTTTGACATTCCTGATGCCTAGACTACTCTTTCTCTAAATGAATAGGGCTTGATCACTAGTCTTCCAATTTTTTTCCTAATTGGATATTACTACTATTTTTTTTTAAAGATTTATTTATTTGTGCATACAGAACTGGGGTACAGGCCAGAGGCTCAGGGG